CCGTAAATTAACGTATTGTTTTATTTTTACCTTTTATAGATTTTTAATGTAACTCAAGTTTGTTTAGAAAGTTTGTTTATTAATTTACTATTTGTAAACTAATAATAATAATAATTTTAGGTTAATCTTTTTTATTAAGAAATAAAAAGACGAAGAGATGATGTACAACTAATATACTTAATATACTAATATTAAACTAATAAACTTAAACTATTAAACTTAAACTATATATTATATTATATACGTCAGTTTCAGTATGTTATCTCATTATCTAGTAAGTCATATATTATTATGATCAACCGATTTGGATCAATTATCATATGTACTTGATACTTTGAAAAGTAACTAAAAAGTAACTAAAAGTAACTAAAAGTAACTATAAATAAACTTTTTCTCAAACTTCAAATAGAAAATTAAGTAATATACGTAATGAAAAAAACAATAAACATATAAAGGAAATTAAATCTTTATATGCGGAGAGAATTTAATTAAACGCGATAATGTGCGATAATGTTTTTACCATGTGTAACTGCGTGATGCTGCGCACGCGTGATAATAATTCTTTATTTATACTAGTTTGATTATGTTATGGAACTTAACTTTATTTAGTATTATTAAATCAGAGAAAGGTTACTTTTATCAAAATCTCTCACGTTTTTTCTTGTATATGAGCTCGTGATATCCCCGAAATTTTGATACACGAAAAAGCAGTGGGTATTTGAAATGTACAGTATATATAAAATGTACAAAAAAAAATATATATATAATAATAAATCATGTACAGTATATTAATATATATGTATATATGTATGTATATATATATACTTTTATATTTTCATACTTTCTTAACTCTTAAGGGTCCGTTTTCCTCGCCTATTTTTTCCCTCAAAAACCTCAAACGAAAATCATTTTTGAAAATCATGAAAAGCAAGCATAATTTATATCACTGATCATCCATTTCGTCAAATATCACCCGGAGTAAGCGACTGTCCCACCCGAGATATTAATGACCGACATTGGTTGACAAAATCCTCTGTAAATTATGTATAAATTTGATTGGTTGAATAATACTTTGTGCATTTAAACGTGCATTAAAATTGCATTAAAGTGCATTAAAATGCATTAAACCAATCAAAAATCATATAATTATTATTTATAAAAAAAAAAAAAAAAAAAAAAAAAAAATTTAAATAGTTTTAATAACTAAACATCAGTTGATATATTTTTAAATAATTACTATTTAAAAAAATTTTGAATGTATGAAATAAACGAATGAAAAATGTGTGTAAAATTATTATAATGTTTAATATTTTATGTTATTGCATTTCAAACACATAAATTGTACANAAAAAAAAAAAAAAAAAAAAAAAAAAAAAGTTACTAAATTTGATAAATTACAACATACATTATTATAAAAGCATGCGATATAATTTACAACCGCAAATAAGGGCAAATAAGCAAATGCAAAACGCCTTTTAAGAAAAAAAATACCATAATCGATTTCTTGTGTTTAATGTAAAAGGACAAAAATATCAATAGATTGTAACGCAAATTGCCATGAATGATTACTGAATTTATTATGATGAATGTATGAAATAAACGAATGAAAAATGTGTGTAAAATTATTATAATGTTTAATATTTTATGTTATTGCATTTCAAACACATAAATTGTACACAATAAACATGTTTTTTGGTTGGTTTAATATTTTCGGTTTTATATTTGATTTTATATTGGTTTAAAAAAAAAAAATAAAAAATATATATATATATATATATATATATATAAATAAATATATATATTTATATATATATAAAAATGACAAACCAAATTTATGTATTTTGATTAATTAAATTTTAAACGTACATGGATACATAAATTTTAACTTGTAAAAAAATAATGCATTGTTAATAATACATAAAGTCTAAACTTGGTTGACATACGCATTATGAAACAAATTTATGAATTGAAAGAAAAAAAGTTTTTATCGTTTATTGGCTCCTAATTTCAGCTTTTAATTCCTTTATAAAGGTCTATTTTTAGTAAAATTATGTATAAATTTAAGAATTAAGTAATAATTGTAATATTTAAAATATGTAAAATGTAAATCCAAAAGAACTTTTGTATAATAATTATAATTATTATGAAATAATCGTAACAATTAAATAATAAAGTATTTTTTGAATTTTTTGAATCTTTTCATTTTTTTTCACTTTTTTTCACTTTTTTTCATAAATTCTTTTCCTATGTTCTAAACTTTATTAAGAAAGATGTATAGATTATATCATGGTTTTGATCATCCGACCTTATGAAAGAGATTTAAAAAACCATTTGCACATTTGCATTTGATATTCATATAAGTCACCCAAAAGTAATAATTTTATTTATAGATCATATATAAAATGGAAATTCTGAATACATAATAAAAAATTTTTACCCGAATGTATATGTATAACAGATGTTAACAAAACTGCGGTATGTCATTTGTTGTTCCAGTGCATCATTCAGCATCCGGACGTACATCAACTTTCTTTAAATTAAAATATTTTCAATAACTTTGATGCATTTCATAACACATATTAATGCAACTTTGTAACTTTGTACGTTCCACTTACCTTATTCTTACTTTCAAAAATATATAAATATGTATATATATATAGTTATAGATAGATATATATATATATATATACGGCATATATATACGGTATATATATATATATATAT